GCTGCTGCTGCTGCTGCTGCTGCTGGTGATTCTGCTGCTGCTGCTGGTTCTGCTGCTGCTCCTGCAGCAGCTGCTGTTCTCTCTGCTTCTGTTTGTTCACAAGTCGAGTCCTTTTGCTGCTGCTGCTGCTGCTGCTGCTGCTCGGGGTCTTGCTGCAGCGGCCTGAGTGCAGCAGCAATCTGTTCCTGCTGCACCAGCAGCAGCCACAGCAGCGGCAGCAGGCAGCAGCGTAGCCGCAGCAGCACCGCCTTGTGCTGCAGCAGCAGCTGCAGCAGAAAGAGGCAAAGGCTGCGATAGGGGGGAGCAGCAAGCAGCAGATCTCTTAAAAAAGAAGCACCAGCAGCACGAACCACACACAGAGCTGTACCCTCATCTAACACACTGCTGCTGCTGCTGCTGCTGCTGCTGCTGCTGCTGCTGCTGCTGCTGCTGCTGCTGCTGTCTCTGAGTAGCTGCGCCAGCCTGACGATGCCGGCGAACTTCTTGCGGGGTTTTTCATCCCGAAGGAGAACTAAAATACCCTCGAGGGGTACACTCATCGTAAACCCTAAACCCTAAACCCTAAACCCTAAACCCTAGAACTTAAACCCTAAACCCTAAACCCTAAATCCTTTGGTTTTAAAATGTAGTTAGCAAGAAGATTCAATGAGAGCAACAAAGAAGCATGAAGATGATAGGTGTTACGCCCAAGGGTTTAGGGTTTAGGGTTTAGGGTTTAGGGTTTAGGGTTTATACTGCTGGTTGCTGCAGCAAAGCACAGTAACGAATTATAGAGAAGCAAGGTTTTATACTGATAGTTTATGGTCTAGGGTTTAGGGTTTAGGGTTTAGGGTTTAGGGTTTAGGGTTTAGCAGCTTCGGGGCTGAAGGGTTTAGGGTCTCGATGAGGCTGGGGGGCCCCCGGGGCCCCCTCACCCACCAGCAAGGTCTCCTGGCTAAACCCTAAACCCTAAACCCTAAACCCTAAACCCTAAACCCTCGTTCTTTGTTTTGAATTATATTTGTAGACGAAACTTTTTCTTTTTGGGGTTATTTGCACTTAAGGCGCCAAATTGGCTAAACCCTAAACCCTAAACCCTAAACCCTGAAAAACCCTCAACCTAAACCCTAAACCCTAAACCCTAAACCCTAAACCCTGAAGCATCATTGGTGTGTGTAAGATGTTCGTGAGCCATTTGGTTCGTTCTCTGGGTTTGTCTGCCCCTCAGCCTGGCCGTCGCTGCCTGAGTTCTGCTGCTGCTGCTGCAGCAGCAGCAGCAGCAGCAGACACAGCAGCAGCAGCAGCAGCAGCAGCAGCAGCAGCAGCAGCAGCAGCAGCAGGAGAAGGAGAAGCTACAGTGCTGGTGGGGTCTTCTACTGACATTGCATTTAATTTATCTTTAGAAGCAACACTAAAAGATATATGGTCTGGGTCGAGCTCAAACCCTAAACCCTCGTCAAACCCTAAACCCTCATCAAACCCTAAACCCTCGTCAAACCCTAAACCCTCGTCAAACCCTAAACCCTCGGGACCTTTGCTGTATCTATGGAGAAATAATAAAACTGTTGTTTTAGGCCGCCATCAGAATGCATGGAAAGAAGTAAATATAAATAAAATGAAAGAAAAAGAAATCACGCTAGCCAGGAGATATTCGGGTGGAGGCGCTGTGTACCAGGTATATTAGGGTTTAGGGTTTAGGGTTTAGGGTTTAGGGTTTAGGGTTTGTAGTACAGTGTTTGTGAGCAGACGCTGGAAGTGAAACGCTCTCTCTCTCAGTCTCTTATTTACACCCTAAACCCTAAACCCTAAACCCTAGACTGTAAACCCTAAACCCTATCCCGTAAACCCTAAACCCTAAACCCTAAACCCTGATGAGTGTATTCAGGACCTCGGTAACACTTGTTTCACGGTGATATGCAGAGGAGAACAAAAAGAAAAAATAAATAAATTTATAATTGAGGCCCTAAACAAAGATTTCGGGGTTGAAGCAAAACACAGCGGGAGAAACGATATTGTTCTAGCTGACGGCAGAAAGGTAAACCCTAAACCCTAAACCCTAAACCCTAAACCCTTAAACCTAAACCCTAGAAGATTTCAGTTGAATAGATGGCACTGAGCGAAACTCATACACAAACCCTAAACCCTAAACCCTAAACCCTAAACCCTAAATCGTAGGGATACAGATGAGAAGGAGACCATGCTCTACACTCACACATAAACCCTAAACCCTAAACCCTAAACCCTAGATTTTATGTTGTCTCTATTTGCAGTTCTCGGGGGCAGCCTATGCGAAGGCTGGAGATATATGGGTGCACCACGGTGGGTAGTTGCTGCTGCTGCTGCTGCTACTGCTGCTGCTGCTGCTGCTGCTGCTGCTGCCTCTGTGGCTGCTGTTTCTGTTGCTGCAGTTGCTGCTGCAGCATTTGCTGTTGTTGCTGCTGCTGACGCAGCAACTGCCTGCATGTGTTTGCGTCTGCACGGGTTTCTCCTTTAAAAACCTAGGGTCTAGGGTTTAGGGTTTAGGGTTTAGGGTTTAGGGTTTAGGGTTTGGGGTGTATACGCAGGTACCCTGATGCGGGATGTAGACTGCAGTGTATTGGCAGATGTTTTGACCCCAAATAAACAAAAACTAAAAAGTAAAGGAATTGATAGTGTTGCCGCCAGAATAGTTAATTTAAAAGAGGTTTCGCCCTCTATTACCCATGAAAACGTAAACCCTAAACCCTAAACCCTAAACCCTAAACCCTCAAACCCTAATCCTGAAAAAGTTGAGAATTTAAAAGAGGTTTCGCCCTCTATTACCCATGAAAACGTAAACCCTAAACCCTAAACCCTAAACCCTAAACCCTAGAATTATAGCCCCTTAAAAATTTTTGATTTAATAGAGGTTTCGCCCTCTATTACTCATGAAAACGTAAACCCTAAACCCTAAACCCTAAACCCTCAAACTCTAATCCTGAAAAAGTTGTGGGTTTAATAGAGGTTTCGCCCTCTATTACTCATGAAAACGTAAACCCTAAACCCTAAACCCTAAACCCTAAACCCTAGAATCCTAACCCTCAAAAACATTTTGATTTAAAAGAGGTTTCGCCCTCTATTACACATGAAAACGTAAACCCTAAACCCTAAACCCTCAAACCCTGACTCGGAAAGAATTGTTAATTTAAGAGAGGTTTCTCCCTCTATTACACATGAAAACGTAAACCCTAAACCCTAAACCCTAAACCCTAGAATTATAGCCCCTTAAAACTTTTTTATTTAAAAGAGGTTTCTCCTCCTATTACTCATGAAAACGTAAACCCTAAACCCTAAACCCTAAACCCTCAAACCCTAATCCTGAAAAAGTTGTGGATTTAAAAGAGGTTTCTCCCTCTATTACTCATGAAAACGTAAACCCTAAACCCTAAACCCTAAAAGAGTAGTAAATTTGGGGGAAATTTCTCTTTTTATAATGTATGAACTCTCAACGCCTCCAAACCCTAAACCCTAAACCCTAAACCCTAAACCCTAATATATTGTGTTGTATGTTTAGTTATGCGCGAGCCTGGAGTCATCATTTATTCGTTCTTTTGGTTGTGAGTTGAAATATAAAAAAGAAAAAGCAGAAGAGTATAAATATAAAGAAGAAAATATAATAAACTCTTTTATATTCAAACAACATCTGCATGCGCTCACTGCTTGGGGCTGGGTTTATGGGAAAACCCCCCAATTCACCTGTCAATACACCACAAGGTTTCAGTGGGGGGCTATCGTAAGTCGAGGGTTTAGGGTTTAGGGTTTAGGGTTTAGGGTTTAGGGGTTGAGAGGGGGGGGAGGGAGAGAGGGGAGCGAGAGAGGGATTCGGGTATTGTGCGGAAGGGTTTAGAGAATGTTTAGGGTTTAGGGTTTAGGGTTTAGGGTTTAGGGTTTGGGGTGTATTAGGGTTTGAGTTCTGCGTCTAGCGGTGGTGGAATATGGATTCAGGCCGTTTATATATTCCTAGGGTTTAGGGTTTAGGGTCTAGGGTCTAGGTTTTAGGGTCTAGGGTTTAGGGTTTAGGGTTTAGGGTTTAGGGTTTAGGGTTTGTGTGGTGGTGCAGGAGGTGGGGTTGGTGGTAGAACAGGGGTCCATAGAAAACTGCATAATATACAGCGACTGTCTCGTCAACGAACTCATCGAGGGTTTTGCTGAGGTCCTCAAGGGTAAACCCTAAACCCTAAACCCTAAACCCTAAACCCTAGAAGCACCCTAAACCCTAAACCCTAGAAGCACCCTAAACCCTAAACCCTAGAAGTACCCGAAACCCTAAACCCTAGAAGTACTCAAAACCCTACTACTTACAGCAACCCCCGCACAACACAACACCAACAAAACCCTTAAACCCTTAAACCCTAAACCCTAAACCCTAAACCCTTTTTTTTTGTCGCAGGCGCCACATACACTGCTGCGGGGATCCACGCCAGGGTCACCGCCCTCCGCTGTACGTACAGCTGAAACCCTCAAAAGCTAAACCCTAAACCCTCATTTAAACCCTAAACCCTCATTTAAACCCTAAACCCCCATCTGAACCCTAAACCCTAAACCCTCAGCCCAAACCCTCAGCAGCAGAGTGGTGAGATACATTGCGTAGATGACTCTCAACCCTCGCTTTAGGGTTTAGGTTTTAGGGTTTAGGGTTTAGGGTTTAGGGTTTGGGGTTTGTGGTGCTGCAGCGAAATTCCCGGGGCATGCGGAGAAGGTGGATGAGTTTGCTGAGTGGTTGGCGGAGGCCTCTCAATCCTGAGCTTGAGGGTTTAGGGTTTAGGGTTTAGGGTTTAGGGTTTAGGGTTTAGAGTCGCTGGTACTGTGTGTATTGTGTAGGGTGACTTCTCTGTTTTCCTATGGATTCAGGGTTTAGGGTTTAGGGTTTAGGGTTTAGGGTTTACTGGGGTTTTGTCTGTGTGTAGTTTTGTTTTTATTTTATTTTATTTTATTTATATAATGCGAGTCTTCTCTATGGCGCTATATATATATATATATATATGTATATATATATATATATA